CCACCAGTAGTAGCAGTCTTTATTATACCCATTGTGCTGTTCCCAAAACTACTTGTTTTTTCCTTCCATTGAGAAAGTCAAGTGACTACTTGTCACCTCAGGGCAGTTAGAACAAGCTACAGAGAGAAGGAAAGCATAAGAAACAGTACAACACACCTTCAAGTCTGACACGGCATTAGAGACTATTGCAGAGACCTAAAATAATCTGGGTGAAATCCTGATGCCAATGATTTGAGAGATATGTCACTGACTTCAGTGGGGCCCAGATTTCATCCTGCATGTATAAGCTCTTACGTGGAATAGCAGTAGATCAAAAAAGCCCTGCAGAATACAGTTTACCTGTATGTCGGGTCACAAAAGGAATTTTCTCCTATGTTGAACTGGCAGTGACCTTACAAAGGGCGTGGAGGGGGGGGGGGAGAAGAGAGGAGGGGAGTTCCACCTTCCTCCTCGCCATATGGATCACTTGCCAGGATCATGAGGGCATCTCTCACTTAATTACTTCATTGTGGGGGTTATAGTCACTGGTACATCTCAGTGCCTCCTATTCTCCCCCTTTGGCACACAATAGTTTGCTCTCTCATGGGCTGGTCTAATTTCAATTGTTGGATACAGGAGCCTTATTGTAGTCAGCTATTTTTGAAAATCTTGGTCCAGACATTTAGACCCTGGTTTAGCACACCATGTGTATAAGTCCCCAATTGAAGTTAGTGGCACTTATGCACTTGCTGAACATCAAGCATGTGCATAACGATGCTTTGCCTTCGCATTCATGTAGTGACCTCAGTGCGCATAAGGAACATGTTCTGAGAGAATAGACCCGAGGTTTTGGGAGACATGTGGAAAATATAAAAGAAAATAGGTGCATTTAGTATCTATATAAAATTTCCACATCCAATTATTACTTTTTTATTACAATATTATTTTCATGTGTGTCACATTTCAGGATCACATTTTTGTTTACATTGGATATTGACTCTGGTTTTGCACTGATGAGAACTCATGAATGATCATCAAGAAAAGGGGCCTCCCCAGAATAACTGTTAAACATCAGCTGACAGTATTAAAATCCTGCAGCAACAGAGCCTGAGCCTTTGCTACAGTGCAGGAGAGCACATTTGGAGTGCAAATCTGGGGCAAAGCTCACTTTTGAACTCCTCCAAGCCCTCAGCGAGGCCCTGGGCAAATTTTATGGGATACGTCAGAGTAGGTTTCTTCTTTCTAATTCTTTTCTCTCACCTCTGACACCACCAGGCATCCTCTTGCATTCACAAATAGATGGCAACGAAGTCAATGATAATTGTGGGTTAACCATCCCCACCAAAAAAAACTGAACGGAGATTTACAATCTGGCAGACATTCCCTACCAAATTATTATTATTAGCTAACTCACATCTGGAGCCTAAATGACTCAACAAAGTTCACTGTTCCTATCACAAGGTTAAGGGTTTTATTTTATCTTTTTATAGCATTTTTATTATCATTTGTTCCTTTAACAGCTCATTGCTTAAGCAGGCTTCCTTTTAGCTCTGCATGTAGTAGCTTATATGTGGCTTGGTTTCCAACAAGAAGCATTCTTGTAACAGTTCTATTCCATTAACTGGCCTGGTTGTCATGGGGACTCCCCACTGTGCCATTTTCACATTAGAGAAGCACATTTGTTTTGCCCTACTTCTGCCTTAAGGATGAACTTGAAATAAAATCTGAAGTTCCGATGCCAAAAAACCAAGCCTACAATTTTTTTTAATCCTTTGAACTGCTGGGACACTGAACTGATCCTATAGCTCCAAGAAAAACATTGTGGGAACATCTTTTCCCCTGGAATAGAATGCAGGGAGCATGTTTTTTGTTTTATCTTAAAGGAGGGTTTTCTTTTAAATATATTTTTGCTTTGGAGGAGATCCATTGATCTGTTAGCTGCCTTGTCGTAACACTGTTCAATGAATGAAGCCATGTGTATGCAGTTGTTTCAACTGTGGTCATGTATACTTACAAGAGATCTCTAATGGTAATTACAAACGAATCACTGCTCTGTTAAATGTCTGGCTCTCCAGAATACATGCAGTGTGCGTTTGTGAACAGTCTATTGCCCACTGGTTTTGCAAATTTCCCTTGATGCTAAACTGGGGAAGGGAGGGGGTTCAATTTATCATCTCTGCCTCTTACCTTCTATGACTTATGCAAGGAATGAGAGTTACCAGTGAGGCTGAGTGCATGACAAGTGGTTGCATTGACTCCCAAATAGTTGCTTGAACAGCTGTTGGATGTTCTGCCAACTCTCTGTTCTCCATCCCCTGGGTTTGAGATCCCTATATCCCACTTTCAGTCGCTAAGGGCACTGACGTAGGCAAGTGCAGGATCCTGTTCCACACTTTGAGCTTCTTGGCAGGGTCTCCTTTGGAAGCTGCAGCCAAACGAGCTCAGAGTCTTTGGTGGCTTTTTGTACCAGTCTTTCAGTCTCTTGCAGACTAACATTTGACTTCATTGGCCACAATGCCCCCCAGAGTCTGACTTCTTCTTTTGGCTGACTTCTAGCAGAGTGTCAGAAGAGTTCAAAATAGCTGGTTTCCCCTTTAGCAGAAGTAGTAGCTGGATTTCAAGATAAGTGGAAAAAGAGATCGGTTATGGGGTGTCAATTCCCCCAGAGACATGGAACAGCAGCTATTGTCATTTTGTTTCCCTCAGGTAATTAATACCATTGAGAAATTGTATATAAGGATGGCCAAACAACAGGAATCATTTCCTGCAACAAACAAAAAAAATAAGATTTTTTTTGTTCTGTATTTGTCTGATTTTTCTACTCAGTGATTCAAAAAGAAAATATGTTCTGAATTGCACAAAATCGCTATTGTTCATTTTTAAAATCTCCCTTCCACTCTGTTCCTTTCCTTTCTCTTTTAATGTTTGGTTTGTATGCCTCTCTCTCTCACGCTCATCTTTCCCTCACCCTTTTATGAAGGAAAAAGTGGAAAGAAGGGAGAGGGGGAGGAACAAAAAGTGTAAAACTGTTTTTTTATTTCAGTGCAAATTAAGAATAAATGTAGTGTGCTTCAAATTGACTCAAAACATTTTTCATTTAGAATCGGTCAAAAACCATACAAATTTAAAGAATAAAATGTCATTAAAATGTTTGTATCATTCAAAATGTTCTGATTTTCATAGCATTTCAGAAATCCATTTCTCATTGACAAAATCAACACAGTCATCAAGTAGCTCTAATTATTAAGCCAGACATCATGCCTTCATCAGGATTGACGTACAAAGCCGCGCAATATCAAGTCTATACTGATCACTTGATAGCACTTTACTATCTGGGAGCTGATTATTACTGAAAACACTTTTAGAATCATCATGCCATGCCAGACCCTAGGGTTGCCAACTTTGTATTTAAAAAATAAGGGACTATTTGCTTAGTACCTCATCACACACACACACACACACCTGATATTATCATCTTCATCATCATTATTAACAAGCAGTTACCAGGGGGTGTTTCTTGCTGCTTTGTGCAACCCTCACCAACTCTGTCGCAGGGATAGGCAATATGTAGCCCTGAGCAATCTGTATGGCTCCCCCACACTCCTTTCATGCACTGAGGCCCTGCACTTCCTCCTCCTCCCCCATCCTCCCCAGCACTTTCAGAGCACCACAAATCTACTGATTCATGCTCCATTCCCGGCCCTCTCCCTACCTCCCAGAGCTGGAACACTGCAACTAAGTTTTGTCCCTGGAAGAGAACTACAGGAGCTAGCCTCAAAAACAGGTCACTTAGCACTGGGATACTAGGCTAGTGGGCTCCCTAGAAATATGGTCTATTGATCAATCCAAGGATGGGATGTTTGCTAGGGATGTTAGATAGCGTGAAATTAAATAGACATATAACCACATAACATTTTATTGGTTACACTATTCAGTGGTCCCTCAGGGAGAGGCCGGAAGTAGTTCCTTTCTGTGGGGTTCTGAGCTCCCTGTGGACAGAAACTGCTCCGAAAAAAACTCTGCTGTATAGACATACCTGTAGGCAATTAGATCCATTTTCAAAATCAGTAGGAGTTAGGTGCTTAACTACATTTGAGGATGTGGGCCATTTCAAAAAATGGGTCACCTGTTCAAAAGCACCTATCCCTGCTTAATACAAAAATTCATTTCTAGGACATTCTGAAAATCAGCAACTTGATCATCTTTTACACTGCAAAATGGCTGCAGAACAATGAAAGAGAAATTCTTCTGTTGAGCAACCATCCAAGTTCCGCTGCTAGAAGGTGAACAGAGTAGATTTGTATGAAATTCTAGAGCACGGCAAAGGCCTTTGATGTGTGTGTGCCTTCTCCATGCATAGCACAAAAAAAAACCAAAACCATAATACACTTAAACCATTCATATTCAGTGTATCCCTAATCCAGGAACACCTGTGGTATGGAGGAGGAAGTAGCTTTGTGCGCTGCCACTGCCACTCCACCCAGCTGGGGGAACAACAGTGCACATAGCTGCTTCCTCTGAGGCTTTTCCCAACCGCTCCCATAGTGCGGGGAGGGAAGGCAGTGCCTGGGAGCAGCAGGGAGGGTGTGGCAGCACATATGCACCCCACATCTACTCCCTCCTGCCCAGCTCCCACAGTGCTCTCCTTGACCCAGCAAAATCTTTAATTCAACATATCCTGTTTCCCAGGGTTACCAGATTAAAGATGTTCAAGTGGATTAAAGGTTAAGCTAAAGTTAAAATTCATGCCTCTGTGCATTGTTGTCCTTGCTGAGATAGTTTGGATGCAAGTGTCCTCTACATACGGCAACCTTTGTCTGCTGAATGTACAGACGAGAACTTCTTATTTTCTGAGTGTGCAGATGCGTGGGTCGACAGGGCCTAAAACAGCTGCATCAAGTGGAGGAAAGAGAACTATGGCAACTGAAGTTATCTGCATCCTCCATGCATTTCCTCATCCTCCCCCCTCCCCACATACATCATATTCCTTCCTGCTCAGGACACAAACTTACAGAACCACCAACCAGCTGGCAGGATGGGGCGTTCTTGGCTCTTGTGACAAAGACCTTCTCTGCGTTTTGGGACTCTCAATTGCAAACTGAGATTATCTAAAACACAAAGAGAACAGGGTAGGATAGCTGGTACTGTAAATGGGGTGCTGGATGTATTCTTTTTACTCTAATGTTCCAGGTTTATTGATACTGCTTCAGTTTTTTACCCTAAGTTGGAGTCCTTTCATAGAAGCAACCGTTTTTCCTTCTTCTGTGCCCCGTGTCAAACCTAGCTACAATTTTGGCCGCAGTTTCCTGGGACTCGATAAATGTAATGCCTGCATCGGAACATCGATTTGCAAGAAATTCTTTAAAGAAGAAATAAGGTCAGAAACTCAGCACAATACTTTTGGAAACATTCTGCATAGTAACATGAAAAGTGACTTAACATTTCCAAATACTGTATTGAAAAATAAGTCAAAATGTAACTTATCCCCAGGTTTCAATGACAGTGTCATGTTATTGGAAATAACGGATATTAGTATTTTGAAGATGACACAATCACCAACAGATTTGAGCCCTGAATATGATTTTTAAAGTAAATTCAGTTAAATTTCTAAACTTTAACTTTCAGATAAGTTGTCTTTGAACCAATTCAAGAAAGTAGTGGGGGGAGAAATGGTTTATTTAAATATTTATGGAATTATTTTCTGTTAAACAACTGATCAAAGAGAATTTGCCTGCATGAATTTCAGCTACTGATAGGCTGTATTGGGTCACTGAAGACAGGGCATAAACAATAAGAGCTACTGTTTTGATATGTTAGCACCATATGTATCACATGAAATATATAGAATTTCATGCACTCATTATTTAAGTTCAATCAAGATATAAATCTGCAAGCACAAACACAAACAGGTACTTTGCACATCAGATCCAAAGGGCCATTTGCATCTGGGGGTTTCATTAAGAACTCAAGGACAACTGCAAATATTGCACATACTTCCAGATGAATTAAACATGCACCCAAGCAGTTATCAGTTTGCTTTTGCAATTTTCAGGCTCAAAAGCAGAACACACCATATGACACTAGGGAAAATGTAACTATTGAAGAGGAACAGAAAATAGGGAGATTTACAGGGGAAAGGTTTATTGTTTTTATTATGATTTATTAAGAACTCGCTCTTTTATAGATCCAAGAGCCTCAGGTGTGGAGGAAATTATTGTAGCAAAATTATAGTTTTAATGCAGTAATATAAGTGAAGTAACACTAGACAAAATGCAGTTTTTATCTTTAAGTTATCATAGAAAATGTACTACAGTAATACCATAAGGACTTTTTTCAGACGGGTTTAACAATACTAATACTATAGGATCATCAATGATTATTATTTGTCCCATGGTAATGGCGAAAGGCCCCACTGTGAAAGGTGCTGTTCAAGCACAACAAAAATATGGTCCCTACCCTAAGAAGCTTACAATCCTAATACTTCTGGCTCATGAGGTTGTGGAAGCTTTTTCACTGGGGGTTTTCAAAAGGAGGCTGGATCGCCATCTGCCTTGGATGGCTCAGATACTACAAACCCTGCAATCCTGCAGGAGGTTAGATTAGTGACCCTTCCTCTCACTTCTAACCCTTGGTTCTAGGATACAGGGTCAATACACTCAGAGAGCAGGCAAGGCTAAAAGCCTCCAATCTCGCTAGCCATGCCCAGATCTGAATTATTCACCTCTCATGGACTCATTCCAGAGGAGAGTGGTACTTTGCTTCGTCAGCATCCACAACACTCAAAGGAAGTAGTTCTAAAATAGAATTTGATGGCCAGGATTACAAACCTGACACAGAAAGGGACTGGACTCAATGGCCCAGAAGGTCCCTTCAAGTCCTGTGTTCTCAACTCCAATGAGCTCCTGTGTAAGTTTCTAGAGAAATAAAACTTTACCTTATGGGGAGTAGGGCGGGAGGATGACTCTGTTTGAAACACACAAAAAGAGGGAAATTTACTGGAGAAAAAGGCTAATGTTCTGGCGAAATTCTTTATGGGACAAATTCTTCTCTCAGCTTTAGAAATCACCAGCCAGGAATGGATTACATTCAAATATACATTTGAAGTAGGATCCTAGAGCAGAGGCAATCTAATTAATTCCCTTATTATTTCTCTGTCCTGTTTTCCTGACAAAGTAAAAAAAAATTCTGTTGTTGCTTTCAAACTTATTTTATTTTGTTAATGTCATTTAATCTATTTCACCCAACCCTCAGTGGAGTTTTTTGCCAATCCTATTTTAGCTTCAAATTGTTAACAATCATTTATGGTGAGATGCAATTAGGAAATGCTTTCCTATGCTCCCAAGGATGATTCTAATTAGGAGGTTTTTTTTATTGGTGCCACACATTTGACATAAGGCTAGCAAAAGGTTAGAGTTCAAGCCACATTATTCAAGCATGTTACTTGCAAAATACTCAGCTGTGCCCCTAAATTATTACATATGAAATGTGTGTGTGGGTAGGGCTGAGGGGGCTGATAGAAGAAAAATCTTCAAAATCTAATTACACAGCCCATATGCTCCCCTCCTGTGCAATATTGTGTGGAGGGGAACAAGTTAGTGGAAAATCTCCATGACTACACTGATGCTCTGCGTGCCCAGCATATTTTCCCCTACCTCCCTGCCCCCAAAGAAATGGGGAGGTGAGGCACCCAGTACTCCAACTCCTGCCCATCTCCATGAAAGTGTTCATCTATGCACCCTCATGTGGCACCCCATCCTAGCCATGAGAGCACAGCTGGACCAGTAGCCATGCTGTTAGTGACTACCAGACTCCAGCTGTGCCCTGTATTGCTGTGAAGGGGACTCCCAGGGCACAGCATGTGTTAATTCTCTCCCAGCAACATCAATTTTTCAGGAAGTTTTCCTCATATAGGGAGGGGAGGAAGCCAACCACTTAGCACAGCCCCACCGTCTCCTGGTTGTCTATTTGTTTGGGTCACCCATGGGCTGAGGGCAGAAAAACAGCTCCCCTGAGCAGGGAACATGCTGTAAAATGGAGCTTGATGGAATTTTTCAATGCAAGTGTTTCCATCAGAACCCACTCAACCAGCCCACAGAAGAAGAATAAAAGTGAAGTGCTTCAACCTGCCTAGATTAAAAGTGATGTCATGTGGTCAGACATACTTCATGGGCTGACTTCAACAATAGCATTCCTGTATTTCCCACCCACAGTTTCAGAATGTTGTGCGTGGGAATTTTGACTTTTCTTTCCACTTTGGGATGAACAGAAGGGTCAGAATATCAGACTTTTCCCTGGAACAGAAACTCTGATTTTGACCATAGTCCTCCTCTCCATCTAGAGATCCTCACCATGGCATCTGCAGCAGATTTTGTTCCCTCCACTTTACACAGCTGTTACTTACATCATCTCAGAGGTTTAGAGGGAAAGACAAAAGGGACAGAAACAATTAGTGCTTTTTAATGCACTTGTCTTCTGGGTGGAGAATTAATCGCAGTTCAGTCCTCAGTGGTACTTGTTCACTTTACAAAATCACCACCGAACGCAGCATGGCCGATCATGTGGTATCACAATAGCAGCAATACCTGGAATGGAATTGGAACATATCCATTCTGCCACCAGCACTGACAATGACTACAGGCTGAACCTCTGTGGTTCAGGGCTCTCTGGTCCGGCAACATCCATGGTCCAGAAGGGTCATGGATATCGTGGGACTAGATAGCCCCGGCACAGAGGTTGCTGGCAGCTGGGAGCAGAGCCAGCCAGCAGGACAGCAGAGCCCATGGGGCTCCTGGCCGGCTCAAGAAAGAGGAGGGGCTGTAGGGCCCACAGCTGGTGGGACCACAAGCACTGGCAGGGTAGACAGGGTCATGAAAGACCCATGGGGCCACTGCTGGAGCTCGCAGGGCTGGTGGGGCCACCGCCAGAGCTCATGGGGCTGCCAGGGCCTCCAGAGTTTGCAGGGCCGCAAAGCCCACAGGGCTGCTGCAGCCAGGGAGCGGAGAGCAGTGGTGCCAGACAGCTGGGGAGAGGAGCCCAGTGGAGAGGTTAGCACCCCCACTTCAATCTTCCCTAGTCCGGAAAACTCCCTTCTCTGGGACTAGTCAGGCCCTGAGGGAGCCGAACAAGGGAGGTCCAACCTGTACTCCACTAGGAATTGTAATGAGGAGACAACCGAGAGGCACTGGTGATGAAATGACCATGCAGAAAGTCCACAAAAAAGCATTTAACTGGCAACACTCCTGGCTCCTGGACACATGATCATGTGTTGATGACCTAAACTAAGATTTGGGTTCATATCCAAGGCTGACATCAAAGATAAGTGGAGTTTAGTAATGCACATAACAACTGGACATGTAAATCAGATATTTGTGTACACACACACACACACACACACACACACACACACACACACACAGAGCTAGTCATGGGGCTAACTGGTTGTTTGCAATAGATGACTTACACATGCACCCACGGCACTGGTGTATACATCTTTGAAAGTTTGGCCCCAAGCACATGGTAGACAAGGGGCTGATACACCGAATCCTCCAAATGAGATATTTAAGAAGGTCCATGCTGCCCTTGCTTTGCACATTAATGTTCCTGTTGTGCAGTTTTAACAGAGGGGATGATAGAAGTGCCTTGTGACAGGGATGATCCAACTTCCCAGAGTTGCCGCAGTGCCCTTTGCACTCACCCCACTGACAGTATTTAGCTGCTTTGTAAAAATCTTTGAGATACCTTGAGTATAGAAGGTGCTTTACAAAATTAAATGTTACGCTAAAATACTACTTTTGGAGCTTAGTTTTGTTTCATTGTCTAGAGAAATGACTCTCAACAGCTTTACTGCAACCCAAAGATATCTTGCACCAAGTGAAGAAAAGGTGACTTTCAATCAAAATAATTGCATGGATACAAGAGACATAAGGGGTGGGAGGTAATATTTGTTACTGGGCCAACTTCTGTTGGTGAGAGACACAAGCTTTTGAGCTCATACAGTTCTCCTTCAGGTTTGGGCCAGAGTGACAGAGACTTACAGACCTATATGTTCTTCCACAGATACCATGAGACTCTGGAGTTCTGCTTTGGTTTCCTACTGAAGCACCATACACTGTGGCACTTTAAGCTTTTTAATTGTTTATAACCGTAGCATCTACGTTCTCTGCACAGTATTATGAAATGAGGAAACCATAAGGAGGTTTCGAACCACAGTGTTTACTACCTACTCCATATCAGGCCTAGCTACATATGTCCACGGCTACTCTGGCAAGGTTCTGGTGGCTTCTGCATTAGAGGACAGGGTGGCTACGAGAGTGCTCCAAATCTATGTAAAGAGCTACTCTCCAATTCCTACCACTGTAACAACTCTCATTTCCCTCTACTCTTTGTAACGAGCAACTGTGAGCATGAAATGAGAATCTGCTTAGTTACCAAAAGTATCTTTCCTCTACTGAAGGTGCACATTGTGTTAGCATGGGGCTGCTTGTAATTACAAGGCTATTGGGCTGAGTTTTTAATTGTTAAACAGAACACCACACACCTACACATTTATTTAAGGTTTTCCCACAGGTCTGGGGAGTGTGGAGAGAGGAGAACACCTCAAACAAAGGTGAGCCCTCCTTAACCTTTTCACCATTCCTCTCAGTGATTTAAAACATTTTAGAAGTCACCAAATCCTCTTTCTAGCCATTAGAAAGTAAGAAAACTGGAAATTGCACTTTAATTTTCCAACATCATGTAGCTTATTAACAGAGTCTCCACTGGGAACTTGGTTTGCTTTGGCAGGTTTGACAACTGGCTCTCTTCTCATTTAAAACTGCCTCCTGACAACCTTCCCAGTTACTCCGGGAACTACACCGATGATGCCAAAAGCTGGCGGCTGGTTGAGATCTCCAGGTTAACCACCAAATACCAGCATGACCAAGCTGACGAGAGAATCTGTGCTTCCCTTTCCAAGACAAAAAGCTGCAGCATCGAGCACGTCTTGCGACAGACAGAGAGATTCCAAAAATGGTTGAAAGCAAAGCGCCTCACTCCGGACCTTGTGCAGGTGAGTATGCAGGCTCTTGCTCATGAGCACACCAGTTTGGCAGCTACTGCAGTTACTTCCTACTACAGAGTCTGGGGGAAATCTCTGATTGCTTCGTTTGTTTTTCAAGCTTCATAAAGAACCAAGGACTGTGACTGACTGAAGCTGGCAAGTTCTAAGCTTCCAAAAAAAATAGGGTTTTGAAGCTTTCAGAGCACTGTGCTGGGGACAAAAGTAAAGGAAGAAGAGCGTTTAGCTCTTCAATCCCATGGGGATGATTCCCACATAAAAATGAATCAGAGGTTAGTATCCAAACCCATCTATTTTAACTTTGCTTTGTAATTACCCAGATTAGACCTGGCTGCTCTTTACAAAGCACCTTTACCTCCCCCACCTCACTGTGTGGCTGGAGCACACGCAATCTACTAGCCTAGGCCCCACTAGGCTCTGGTGGCCAAGGGGACTGAGAGGCGTGCCTTTCTCCTCTGTTGGGGGCCATGACAGTGAGGGTTGGTTTTTGGCTGTTTTTCCCCCCCTCACTTGTGTGCAGCCCCTCCAACTGATTTTTCTGTGGGCCAGAAATAGGTTGACTCTGAGTTCCTGTTTGAGCTGTCTGCTTGTTGAACACTCCAAGATACAAATCTCTTACATTCAAACCTCATGAATCAAGAGCCCCAACAGCCTGAAATTAAAAACAACAAATAAAATATTAATAATAGATTTTAACACATACATACCCCCAATGTTTGATCCTTAAGGGGCACATTTTTAAGCTTTTGTGTGAAACCAAGAGGGCTAGACACTTGGCTTTCTCCAGTGAAAGTCGAGATGCTCATGTACTCACCTGACTCAAGGAGATGGGGCTTTAAGTTGCCTACCCCAAACCCTGTCACAATGTCTTCAGAAGGGGAGCCGAGTTAGTCTGTAACAGGAAAAACTGAAAAAACACCAAATAGTCTGGTAGCACTTTAAAGACTAACAAAACATGCCATCATGAGCTTTCGTGGGCATGGGCCACTTCTTCAGATGACCGGAGTGTTGGATGGCCAGAACCAAAATAAATTCATCTGTTCCCCTTTGCCCCCTTGACTGGGCTTTAAAAAAAAAATTGTGCACATTTCAGTTGTTTCTTCTGAAAGGCCAGCCCTCCCCCTACTGCTTGAGAGGAGATTTGTAGCACACAGCCGCCCTTAGCAAGGACAGCACCATTAATTTTTTTACTTGGATCCTGTCTCTGTCTGTAAGCACCATTGACTAACTCCCTCCCAAAGGGCAGGGGAACATGCCTTCTCAGCTGAGCCCAATGTGTGGCGCTGTGGGTGCAGGAGATGGAAGCACCCGATTGAGGGGGCATACCTCACAGGCAGACCGCACGCACCCTAACCCCGGGGCACTGCAGGCCTCACTCCAGAGGCCTGGAAGGAGCCGGAGGCACCGAAGTAGGATTCCTATTTCTTAATCTCTAGGCCATCTATTGCAACGTGCGTCATGCAACAGGAAGTTGGTTGGCCTTTTCAGTAGAATCCTTAAATGTCACAGGGTAAGCAAGGCGAGACAGGTGTGTCAGTCACAGTTCCAGCTTGAGGGGAGCCGCAGGGGTTATTGCCACTAGGGAGAGGGAGGAGTAGGCTAAAGAGATAAACAGCATATGGTGCAAGCTGATAACCAGGCAGCAAAATAAGCAGGAGCAGGTTTCAAACAAGCCAGCTCTGGAGAGGCACTGAGCTCTGAGCACCTGCTGCAGAGAGAGAGGAAGGATCTGTTCCCATTTCAGCCACAAGGCAGGGTGCCACCTTTTGCTGAGGATGGCTGTTAAGGGACAGGCACCCCTCACGACAAAGGGCTATTGAGTGACTAGCAAATGCGTGAAAGGAGCAGGTTGGTGGCTGGGATTGGAGGATCTTTCAGCTGAGTGTTTTGTGCTCGAAAGGGTCACCCTCTAAAGTGGGGGATCTGCTTTGAAAAGGAACTTTATAGAAGCATCACCCTGTAATCCAACAGGTCTGCTCCCTGGGCACGTTTACTTAGCTGTGCTGACTCCGGACTCCTCGCAGTAAGGCGTTTTCTCCTGCTTGTCACTCCTGCTAGCTGGCAGAGCTGCTGAGACTGAGGGAGCTGCAGATCCATAGGCATCATCAGTAACAGGATCACTAACTAAACTGCGACCGAGGCACCTGTGCAAGCCACAGACCGCACTCGAGTGACCCAAGTGTCACTGAGGGGCTAATTGGGCCAGCGGAACCATTATTACTGCAACACGGTGGAAGAGCCCAGTGTGGCTCTCAGAGCTGTCAGCTAGAAAAATGAGCACAGTTGAGCTGAAAGACAAACTAAACCTGGCATAGAACAGAACATCTCTCTGGGAAAAGGCTGCACACTGTTCAGAAGGCAGACTGTGCTTCATCTAATAGTCATATCAAAGCGAAGGAAAGGGTACTGGGGGTTACAAGAGGCGTTCAAAAAAGATTCCTTATCTAAAATTCACGTTTTCTTATCAGCTGCATTATACCAAGTGTCCCTTGTTAAGTCCTGCAGGGAATTGTTTCCCATGTGCATTAGGGCATTTTCTCCCCACAAGATGGCAGTGTGGAGTGTGTTACAGGTGCTGAGGTGGGAAAGCCAATAATATAGCAGGGCACAGTGGTGAAACCCATCTGGTGAGCAAGCTTCATGGAGGTTGTGTATAAAATCGGGCAGTGTCTTGAGATGGCAACAGAATTTTTTTTAAATCAACGGTCAAACAAACAGAAATCCTTAAAATGTCTGTTTACTGAAGTCAGGAAATCTGTGTGTGTGAAAATGGAGAAATTCTTCCAAAAACTTGGAACCAAACACCCCTGAAATGTGAGGTGCTTAACATTTCGAGCCAGGTTTTCTGGTTTAGTCCCACCGGAAAATGAGTCTCAGGAAATTTCTGTGCATTTCTATGGCCCTGTTCAGCTTCAGGAGGCAGGAGAGTTCTCAGATTCCCTTCCTGAAATTTAAACAGCAAGAGCTCCATAGGGGTGTCTCCCTCTGAGGTGTAATTTCAGTGGTATGGTATTTGCAGTGCAAATACATGTCAGTGCGAATGCTTCGTTTCATGATATGATAAACACCTGCAAACACTTCACACAAGAACTGTTCAGTGATTGGCATTTTTGGTAACACTCAGGGCTCTATTGATGTCATCACGGTAGCAGTATTTCCCATAAAACTATGGTTACTAACCTGGTGGCTGCACCATCCTCCCCATAGCTTTGGATATAGAAAAGATCTGACAGAAACTACTGGGCTCAAGTAATTTTCTTTTACAGAACAGAAAAGTATGACAAACCTTAACATACTTGAATCAAAACGACAGACCGTGAAATAATGTTTTTCACTTTTCACTGACTGCCCTGCCTGACCCAACTATCAATTGGGCTGCCTGCCACAATGATTATTTCATCTGCCACAGTGAAAGTCTTTATTGCAAGCTACAAATGCTTCGGTACTGAAATCATGCCTGCCTCAGAGACAACCTTGATTTAACTCTCTCTGTGTGTGTAGAACTGGATTGCACGTATTAGCCTGTACAGGAGTACTAGTGGCATGCTGCTTTGTATGCATTTCAAGCTCCAAAGCTCATCATTGTAAGTGTCAGAGGTCACCTCGTGCTGCTTGTTTTTTTCTGTTTGAGGTGGACAATAAAAAAATAGGCTAGTTTCAGCATAGATCTCCTGGGGGGCACACTTCTAACCCTAACAACGAAGAACAGCAAATAAAAGGTTGGAGGCACAAAGGTTGGATGTGAACATTATCAAGGCACAACAAGAAACTGTAATTTTATGAACTTGCCCATTTTACACACCTAAATAATAATTTGAAGCTGTTAATCAGCCTCATAGTCCAACACATAAATACCACCACTGGGTCTCACAGTCATCACAGTCATCTCCCAGATCCATCATCTTTTGACTTATTTCCTTGTTGCCAGTGATGAGTCTGAATCAAGCCTCCAAGTTTAAACATACCTGAATTTTGAAGTAGAAAAGGGTAATGATGGAATCTGAAGCTAGAACAAGATCCTGATTTTTGTCATAGATTTATACTTGTAAGGGGCTGAACCAATGTCTCAGATTCAAATATCTGAAACCACTAGGTGGCTTAAAATTCAGATTCAATTTTTCCCCCATTTCTAATGGCTTGTCTTCACTGCCATGGAGATCAATGCAATGGTGGTCTATTTTCCAGTGTTTGATTTAGTAGGTCTAGTAAAGACCCACTAAATTGAATGCTGAAGACACCCCTGTCAATTGCATTCCTCCCCACCTTTGAGAGGTGAAAGGGAAGTCAACTGGAACATTTCTCCCATCAACCTCCCTCTGAGGGGCTGCCTCAGAAAATCTGTGTAAGGTATGTCAACTCCAGCTCTGCAATTGTTGTAGTTGGAATTGCATATCTTACATTGATTGTTTCAGCCAGCATAGACCTGGCTTTACTGTATTAATTTAAGTAGTATATGTAGCAGTCAATTCTTAGTGTGAACTGCAGATGGCAGTGATTTTGGATTGAGTTTCTCTCTTCCTTGACTATTTGGTAGGCACTGTGTGATTGTTGTACTATAAAGACAAAAATGTGGACTCTTCCACGGCAGAGTGAGCTCTGAGTTTGTCTGCACCAATAAGAGCAACTTTCCCCCACCCCCAATTTGTAATACACTGTACATCATGGACGGGAAAAAAATGCCATTCGAGTGAAAGCTGGCATCCTGGTGTCTGTCCATGCTTAGACACATACACGTGACATTTTTTAAAATCAAACTTAGTGAGAAGCATTGTGACTTAAAACCAAACTTGTTGTCAAGTCCATGTCTATATATACAGAGCTCGCAGCAGCACAGCTGTACCGATACAGCTGGGCCACTACAGCACATCTTGTGTTGATGCTCTATGCTAACAGGAGAGAGCTCTCCCATCCGCATAACAAAACCATCTCCATGAGCAGCAGAAGCTACATTGGCAGAGGAAGCTTTGCTGCTGACATACTGCTATGCACATGTGTGCTTGCGTTGGTGCTACTGATGTCGTTCAGGGAGGTGGTTCATTCATTCAGTCTCAGGTTCCAGAGTGAGAAGACATTGCAAGGGAGTTAAGCCATTCTGCAGACAAACCAGTTATTGCTAGTGCTTTCAATCACATGATCTTCACGTGTGTGTCCAATCAGCGGATTTTGCTTCACAATTTTACAACTTCAGAGTTAAATTGGCTCTCTCTCCAGCAGCAGAGATGGAATGATTCTTTCCCCCTAAAAATGTTGACCCCACTCCAGTGAAGTACTTAAGGCATGCTTACTTCTAAGCATGTGAGTACACCTAGCGAAGCGAATAGCGCCTAGTTGTTAGATGAACAGTGCTTTGCTGGACCACAGTGTGTGTTAAGTAATTAAAACATTAAGAAATTGTATTCATTCATGATATAAATGTGAGAAGGGATTTCACCTATTCAGCTTCCAGCCTTACTCTTGTTCATTCTGTTTCCATGCCATAAATAGCACTAGCCTCAAAGTCAGAATGTATGAATGAGCACAAACTGAAGGTCATTTAACTCAACTAGATGTGTTCTGGCTCCCAAATTGTTGACAAACATGCACTATACTCCTGCACGTTCACATGGACTTATTTCAAATTCATTTACTGTTTAGCATGGAGCAGATAAGTGAAGTAGCTCTAGCATTCTGATCTTTGTACTGGATAAAGTGTCAGTCACAGTTTTAATTAGGAAATCCCGAAAATAATTCCATGGGAAGTGATCAGCCTTTCATCACCTCACTATGCTCACAGAATAGGATCAGCTATGAAGTAGGAAATTACACTTTTTGATGGCATCTTTTCAGGTCCTTCAGTACATAGTTATGGCAAACAGAAAGGGTTACATAATAAGATAGAAAGTACAGGCCATCCTCACTATAAGTCCAAGATAAGTTCCAAATAACTTGGACTTCTAGTGAAACGACTTACAGCGGGGAATTTTTTTTTCCTACAGCTGACTTCCATTTGCACAAATTGAAGGGGGGGGGGAAGATTTGCACAACTGAAGGATGGGGAATGGGAGGACTTACAATGCATCAGCTTCTACAAGGGTCAATGACTAGTGTGGAACCGATGCATACCAGGGTGACATAGCAGGGACACCCTGTATCATATTTCCTCTATATAAATCCATCATAAATCTGCATCTTGAATACTGCGTGCAGATGTGGTCGTCCCAGCTCAAAAAGAGATACCTTGGAATTGGAAAATATTCAGAAAAAGGCAACAAAAATTTGGAACAGCTGCCATATGAGGAGAGATTAAAAAGATGGGACTTTTCAGCTTAGAAAAGAGAAGACGAGGGGGAGATATGATAGATGTCTATAGAGGTTCAGAGAAAGTAAATAATGAAAAGTTATTTACTCTCTCCCATAACACAAGAACTAGGAGTCATCAAATGAAGTCAACAGGCATCAGGTTTAAAACAAACAAAAGTATTTCTTCACACAACACATAGTCAACCTGTGGAACTCCTTGCCAGAAGATGTGATGAAGGTCAGAACTTCAACAGGGTTCAAAAAAAGAGCTAGATAAATCCCTGGAGGTTAGGACCATCAATGGCTATTAGCCAGGATGGGTAGAAATGGTGTCCCTAGCCTCTGTTTGTCAGAAGCCGGCAATGAGCGACAGGGGATGGCTGACTTGATAATTACCTGTTAATTCCCTCTGGGTACCTAGTATTGGCCACTGTCAAAACACAGGATACTGGGCTAAATTAACCTTTGATCTGACCCAGTATGTCTGCTCTTATGTCTCAACGATTGCATTAAAAGATTCCTGTAAGCAGCAAGGCTTTCTATCTTTGTCAGCAAATATTTGCATACAATCTCAGCTGGAAGAGAATTTCAGCACCACTTATCAACCATTTAACACAATTTTGCTTGGCTTATTTTTCCCCTTCACTCCTCCCCCAAAGGAAAAGTGACAACACGTCAGAACTGTAAGACAGAATTGCCATTTTTCTGCTTAGTTTTGTGCTAGACAAAAAAACAAAACAAAAAACACACTTCTTGCTAATGTTGTTCTGGAAGAGAAAAATGTAAGAGGATGTGTACTATTTAGACACTGTCATAGAGTTAATTCTCCAAGCCATTTCTCTATAACTGATAAAGTAAAATGCACTTATTCTAAAAAATAAGCTAATCTAAGTCCAGTGTAAATAAACAGCCATTTGTGCCAGCTGCAGATCTTTTATGAGCTTTTATAGCTCAGATATTCAAACTACAGAAAATGCAACATACCATGGTAATGAATCTATAAACCTGAGAATCATTTGCTGCTGCTATCTGCAGGGAAGTATAAGCAAAACATTAAACCTGTAGGTAAATTATTTACCATAAACTTTACCAGAAAGAAAATGCATCCTACACAGGCATCTATGTACAATATGCATAGATTAGTTTTTAAATTTTATTTAACATCCCTAGTGAAGAGGGATGTGCTTGGAAGATGCTCTTTAGAAGGAGGAAGTGAGTCACTTAAGGGGGATGTCTCCAGAAAGACAGAGAACTCAAGTGAATGAACAACATGTGCTACAGAGGGTTGCAAAGAGAGGCACAGGCTATAGAAGCAAAATTAGTTCAATATACTGACACTGAGGCAGATAAGAGTGAGACCTAGAGACTGGATTGTATGTTTCGGAAACAGTGTGCCTGCTGTTTTGAGATACCTGTGTGACTATGTGTTTTAGGTGAAGTCTGAAATATGGGATTGGAGTCAAGGTAGTTCAGTGTTTAGAGTCTACTGTAGCATATCCCTACACTGCCCCATGTTGCTAACAGTCATTCAGAGGAATGCTTCATATAGGTAGCTGCAAGGGGTACACAGGACAGACCTGCTGGCAGGGTTCTCAAATAGCACAGGGAGTAGATCACAGAATCATACAACTGGAAGGGAACTCAAGAAGTTGAGTTCAGTCCCCTGCCCTCATAGCAGGACCAACCACCATCTAACTCAGCACCGACAGGTGTCTAACCTGCTCTTAGAGATTCCACAACCTGCCTAGGCAATTTATTACAGTGTTTAACCACCCTGACAGTTCAGAATTTTTTCCTAATGTCCAACCTAAACCTCCCTTGCTGCAGTTTAAGCCCATTGCTTCTTCTCCTATCCTCAGAGGCCAAGGAGAACAATTTTTGTTGCTCTTCTTTGGACCCTCTCCAATTTCTCCACATCTGTCTTGAAATGCAGTGCCCAGACCAGGACTCAATACTCCAACTGAGGCCTAATCAGTGCATAGTAGAGCGGGTCACAGTATTTCAGCTTAACAAAAGCTCTTATAGCTGCCAACTGCCTTTGTTCTTTCCTACCAGGGGCTACCTAGTCCGATGCTGCGCTGTCCCTCCCAGCGGCTCTTAGACAGAATAGTGCGCCGCTATGCTGAGGTGCCAGATGCTGGCAGCATCTACATGGATCATCTCTCAGACCGGGACAAACTGCGCCTCCTCTACACCCTGTCAGTGAATGCATTTCCCATCCTGTTACAGGTACGGTGCCACTCCCTACGCTGAAATTTCCCCAAAACCAAGCACAAGCCCTTCTGCAGATAGTGAATCTGGTGGTCTCCAGTTGCTCTGGACACGGCGTAGATTTTTTCACTGTCATGCTAAGCTTTGAGGAGAGTTCCTGTTCCTTGACTTCACTGAGGCCGTTGCCTGATCTTTAGATTGTGTATTAATTATATCAATAACTTACGAATTTTCAGTTTCCACTTTGCGGGTTGGCAGGGTCTTGTCTCAGGATCAGGCCCAGCATTTTAATTATTCTGTACTTGGCAACCTTGATGTACACATCTGAAACACTCACATGATAGGAACTCCTGTATATTTACAAATATCATTGTATTAATACATTTAGCATGGTCACAAACACCTCAACTTAACAAGAGAGATAGGGAATGTACATCTATATTTCCATATACTCACAGCATTCCTCCTACAGTAACCTGAAATATTAGCCATCATCTTCCTCATCACCACCAGTGACCATCATTCTGGCACTTCCCAAGGACTACATTATCTTTTCTTTCTGGGATGCCCCTTTTCTAATAGGTTTGCTCATGTTATGTTTGACTGCCCTGCCCCCTGGGGCCATGTGGTTTTTGAACAGCTAGGAGCCTGAGGGGAGGGTGCTTTGCAAACAGCCTGTTGACAACAAGTAGCAGTCATTGGCCAGATAGTGCTGGGGCCTGGAGCAGCACATGAAGGCTCACAGCTGTTCAAGCAAAGGACCACAGCAATTTTTCTCACTAGCGTGGGGGGAGGAGGCAGACAAGGAGTCTGCCTGAGGCTCCCTGCTTGTCCAGGCCTGGTCCATACTCTGCCCCCATCCCACCCACAGGGCTGGCTTCTCATAGGTGCCACAAGAGAGCCACATGGCATGCTGGGAGTGATAGTTCTTCCCCCTCCCCACTTCCTTCCCATGTTGGGCAGCGCAGAAGGATGGGGGCAGGACTACAGCTTGCTGAAAGCCAGGACCCTTCCCTTCAGTGCCAACCAGGCATTGGCAGTGGGGGCCTTTCTCTGTCAGCTCTGATTGGCCTCTGAGCATGGCACCTGGCAGAGAGGGCATCTGCCACTTGGGGATAAGCCGTGGGTTGCCAGACATCGGTGTCGGGGAGCACACCAAGGGCTGCAGACGGAGCCAGCGGGAGAAGGCAGGGGGTGCCCTAGCATTGCCCCTGGACTCACCCCTGAGGGATTGGGGGGAGGATCAGCCCCAGCCTTCCCCCAGCCAGCCGAAGCACAGGGGAGGGAAGCTGTGGCCACCCACCATCCCAGACTTGCCCAGCTCAGATAGAATCAGCCCCATGGGGGAGGCAACCATGGAGGGGTGCGTTTGCAACCTTCGCACACACTTCCCTGCGTATGGGCCGCCACCCGCCCAAAACCATACACTCACTCACACAGGCTTGCTTTACTGCATACCTACTCATGGAGACTCTGTGTGCGCGCGCATGTCACCACAAGCACACCTCAGTATTTCTGGCGACTATATCCATTATTTTCCTTCTCTTCTCCTCTCACAGATTTTCCCCGAAGCAGAGGGATGGCCGTTTCCAAAGTATTTGGGGTCATGTGGCCGGCTGATTGTCACTGCCAGCAGCAGGCCTTTAAATGAGTTCTACAGCTCTCCTCCTGAGGTGGCGGCTGATCTGGCTCTCCAGCTCCTCTCTCTCATCACTTCCATGAGGAACAATGACTTGAACTATTTCTTTTATTTTGTCCATGTTGATGCTGGCACATTTGGCATTTTTAACAATGGGCATCTGTTCATCCGGGATGCCAGCACACTGGGAATCATTGACAAGCAGGAAGGTACTCAGTATGATCTCTGAATAAGCACCTGTCATGGGAGGAATTAGGAAGGCAGGAGAAAAAATAATCTTTCACCCGCTATGTGAGTTTTATTTAAAAACATCAAAAATTGCTCACTAAATTGGATAATTAAAAGTTCAAGAGGAGACATTTACTGCCAATAAAACCATAACCAGCTCCTGCCGTGCTCCGCTCTATATTCTGAACGTTACATAACTTTCACTGGTACAGTAAATGGGGCTGTGACTAACACTACGATTAAAAAGTGTTGGAACAGTCTTTGTAGAACTACATTGGTAATATCTGTGACTAGTGACAGACACCATGGCAACATTTGAATGCTAATCTTCAACAGCTTCCTAACTCAATTTTCTTTAAAAACTGGTGTGTCAAAAATTAATTTGCAGACAGAAACTATACAGGCTTATTTCACTTTTGGCCAAATCCTTTAAATCCTTCCAGGCCATTTTATCTCCTTTACTTTAGAATTATTAACAAAGGAAAACCCCTTTGTGTCAGTTTGTCCACCGTTCAAGCTCTGCTTTCCACCACACAAACTATACAGTAATGCGCCATGAGAAACAGAGCTAGAGTATGTCACTTTTCTCTTTTTTTCCCCAAACTGAAAAAAAATCATTCAGCTTATGCAATCATCTGAATAGTTCTCAAGTATTCACAGATGTATATAGATTTTGTGAAAATCTTCTAGTGAAATATCACATCGAGAGGGGGCAGATGCCCTGGGGCCCAGTGATTTCAAAGGGCCTGGGACGCCCAGCTGCTACCATGGCAGCAGCAGCATCCAGAGCCCCAGGTGGCACTGGGGGAGGCTAGACCCCATTCTCCCCTGCTGCCCCTCCCTGCTTGCCCAGGGACCCAGCAAGTTTATCTCCAGCCCTTTTAAATATTCAGCAGGGTTGGGGGGGTTTTTGGGGGTGGGGGGCTGTTACATTGTTGGTTCCGCTTCAACCAGATTTGCCTCTTGTTGAGTCTTACTGGTTTTGGATGTGATGGAAAACTGAGGTCTTAACTACTTGTGGGAGTTTCTATAGGAACTTCACATTTCAGCTCTATATTTATGTTGGACTCTAGTTTCTCTGCTATTTTAATCAATATAAAACACTGCTGGGTAGCACAGTTCTTTTCATCTCAACCTTTCAGGTACATAGATGCATTTCAGAAGTGTGAAAAATGACTCTGTACATACAGCTTACAAAGTGATTTGGGATGAAAGGTGCTAAATTAGCCTAAGCTATTATATTACCAAGTGTATACACTATTTTAAATGACATTTTCTTACCAAAATTACAAACATGTATGATTATAAAAGACTTGCAATTTTCTAACTATTTTTATTGCCTTTATTAGGTCTCCACCTGACTGATGGCCAACAGGAGTATCAAGATATATTTAGCTGTTTGGCTTCGGACTGCCAGTCTGCATTTCTCTCCTGTAAATCAGTTAGAGAGAAGCAGAGCCTTGTCATGGTATGTCAAGAGCTTCTGCCTAAACTGCTCAAGGGAAAATTCCTCCAACCTGCTCAGGAGAAAATAGACAGGCTCCTAAGGCTCTGTGCAGACAGCTTTAGAGCCGACCAGGAAGTCAGTGATGCTGCTGGAAAGCTGGTAGAGCTCTTGAAACCTCTACGCTCTTGCAATTCCCATTTTGCCTACCGCTACCCTGACTGTAAATACAGTGACAAATATTAACCATCGAGAGAAAGCTCTTCTGGAAAGACTGGAGTGGGGTGCGCACAGCTCAGCTCTGGGCTTCCTAGCATGAAGAAGGAAGAGGCAGCACAACACACCCAGGGTTCTGCCTGACTCAGACACACTTACCGCTTTGCTGTGTTAACTTCAAACTTCACATCGTACTAAAGTGTTATCACATTTCGTTGGTGATCTGTGATAAGCTATTAATAAAACATATTACTTCATTTTGGCTTCAGAGGATTTTTCCATGGGACCCATAAAGAAAAATTAAATATTAAGCCATTGTGGTCAGTGGCTTAGGTGGCGTAGCATAACTGCAGAGAACCCAGACTCTGCTGATAAAGACTATACAATAATATAAGATGGATGGATACACTTAAGACTATCCTTGAGGGGATATATTAATGCCATAAAATTACCTTATCCGAATTGAATTATCTGATCAGTTTGCTGCCATTAACACCCACAGATGACCTTTTAAAAAAATGTTACTATTATGATTGCCAATTAATTTGATGTTATATGGGATGGAAAGAAGCAATAGATAGCATTAAAGAGCTTAAAGCTCCTTTTCCTTTTATGTCTTCATTCCTCTAACTTCTAATCACATAGCACAACATTTCATCTTTGATGGGTTGCGATATGGTCATCAGCATGTAAGGGTGCAAATTGCAGAGCACTCCAAAAACTTGTCCTCTAACTGTCCCTGGGCACACTGCTGGGGCAAATTAAGAGGCTACTAGTTGCATTAACATTGCTCTCTAACAAACAGTTTGTTTAAAAAACCAAAAACGCCCTCAGAGCCAATTCACCGAATGTGTCTTTTTCACGTCTCCCCCCAGTACAATCTTCAAAACACTTCTAATCAAAATACTTCTATTTCACTTACAACTCTGTTGAGTGCAGACACCATCTGGCTTCAAGTAAATCTCGGTTTAGTTAAAATCTTGTTGTTTGCATTGAAAACAGGTCTCTTTTCCTTTGGAATTTATAACTCAAGGCATATGTACCTTGGCAGTTGCGTTGATAGATGATTATCTTGTCCTCATAACACCTCAGCATGGTGAGGAAATATTACCATCTCCAAGCTGCCAAGGGGGAAATGAGCCACCGAGTTAGGACCAGATCCATAAAGGTAGGGAGGTGCCTATATCCACCTGATTAAGGCACCTCTGATGGTCTCAAAACAGCAGCTGAACAGCTGCTCTAGGTGCCTAAATTTTTACGGGTTGGAATTTGCAAAGTAGCCCAAGCACTGCTGCTCCCTCCCCCAAGCTAGGGAATTGCTAAGAACCCATTCTCAAACAAGGGAGGGGAAGTCTATCCTGTAAGGAGGCCCAGTTCTGTGAGCATGGCCAGAGCCCACGTAAGACTTGATCCTTGTCAGATCTCCCAGCAGGAGGGTGGGATGCAGGCCACTGAGAAGCGGAGGGGTAGCAGTGCACCTGCACGAGTCACACATATGGGCAGTAGAATGTTGGGGCTTTTTCAGGGAGCAACAAAGAGTAAGGGACAGAGAGGTGTGGACCGGTAGACACTCCCTGGTAAGAACATTCCCTTGGAATGTGGGTGTACATGAGATACCCATCCTAGAATAGCCCATAACCTGGTGGTCAGGACACTCAGATGGGAGGAGGGAGACCAGGGTTCAAGTCCCTGATCCAGAGCAGGGATTTGAACTTGGATTTCGCCCCTTCCCAGTAAGCACCCTACCCACTGAAGAAAATGTATACAATATCACAAACTGCCTCAGTCAGCCTCTCACCTGCAGTTTTCAGTGAAAGAATTTTGCCTGAAAAAGGTCACCCGGCTCTAGGCAAGAAGCCTGTGACAGAGGTAGGGACAGAACCCACCTCTTCCTACTCCCAGTTCAATGTCTTAGCCCCAAGAACATCCCTCCTCAGGCTATGGTTTGAAAAAGACCAGTCATTTGATCATGTGCAAAAAGCTATGAGTGTGTTTGCACATCTAAATTGCATGAAAAGTTATTGTGAGTCTCTGCACAAAATCAGAA